ATCTATCTATCTATCTATCTATCTATCTATCTATCTATCTATCTATCTATCTATCTATCTATCTATCTATCTATCTATCTATCTATCTATCTATCTATCTATCTATCTATCTATCTATCTATCTGCCCTTCTTCCCTTTTTTTACTTCGCTGTCTCTCTCTCTATCTCACTTCCCTCGCTCCCCGTTCTCTTTCTCTCTCTCTCTCTCCTCTCTCTCTCTCTCCACACATCTTGCCGTGTGTCCACAACAGGTTCTGACAGGTTAAGGTTACTCTCAACCTTTTGCACGGGTATTGCTCTAATGAAGATTAAACGTTTATTGGCGAATGAATCTAATCATGAAATCACTTGTTTTATTTATAGAGGAGATATATCTCTATGCTCAAGCCAAAAAATTTCATGAAATTTCCAGCACCTAATTATGTTACCACACAAATTTTGAAATTTCCACAATGTAAAAATGGTATTTTCGATATTTCTCAACTACCAGAAAGAGTGATGATACAAACTTTTTGCCACATGTTAAGCACAGTATGGACCAAAACAGCGTATCAGCATTTTTCTTTAAGTTTCATATTTACCGAGAAAAATAGAAAAAACTGCTTAAAAATCAAGCTGTGTGATGAAATTGAGAAGCATAACTAATAAAATACGGCACTTAATAACAATCCCTGACGCGTTTTTTTACACCAATATTAAACCAATTAGTTGCCATTAAAACGAGTGTAAAATTAAATTAATCACAGATATAATAAAATAAAATTGTAATCACAGAGAAATATTCATTTATACATCGGCTACTATGTCAGAAATCGAAACAGAGAAATCAGCGTTTTTCTATTTTTCACAATGATCGACCGCCTGTGTGCAAAAAGGGTGAACGTATGTGAAACATCTACTGTTAGTACTTACTGTGACATATCCATGACTAACTGACACCACGAAATTGGTAATATGTTTCATGCACCTTGAGAAATTGTGCGAAATTACGAGGTTACCACCGCACTTTCATGCAAAACGCGCGTACGTGTACTGCATGCCGTTATTAAGCTATGTGTTAACAAACACGCGCCTAAATGCAATGTGTGTAATAAGGGAAACGGGGTTATTTTCGGTCGCGCGGCAATTTCAACTATCACTGGCAGACGACAGCTGTAGGAGGGTTGATGCTGAATGATACTGGCATAGTGAATATCATGAACATTCTGGTTGTATCATGTCTCTAACGTCATCAGTGACGTCAGCTGCTGCTCACTACACGTGTACGCGGGCAATCAATATGCTCTAAAAGTTCACATGTACCGTAATATGGAGAAATGAGCATATACAGAGGTGGCACATAGTGTTAGCCATCGAATAAAGTTGAAAATGAAAAATCGGTAAAATTTTGTCTAAAACCTTGAGAGTATCCTTAACATGTGATTAATATTCATATTATGCAAATACATGTCTGTAGCTATCAGCTATAATTAGCGTGTCGTCATCATGGGCATTATGCTAAAAACTCATGTAACGTATTATTCTTAGTCTAGCATCTCTCTCTTTCTCTCTCATTTTTTCTTTTTCCCTCTCTTTCTCTCTCTCTCTCTCTCGTTCTCTCTCTCTTTCTCTCTCATTTCTCTCGTCTTTCTCACTCCTTTCTCTATCTCTCTCTGTCTCTCTCGCGCGCGCTCTCTCTCTCTCTCTCTCTCTCTTTCTGTCTCTCTCTATCTTTCTCTCTATCACACACACATACACACGCCCCCTCTCTTGTTCTTTCTTTCTGTCAACCTTTCCTCTCGTTTTTTTATTGCTCGCCTTCTCTTTTGCTCTTTCCTCTCCCTCTTGCTGTCTGTCTAACCAAAAATATTCGGGGCTGAGATGGAAATCCGTGGGTAAACACTCGGGCGAGCGAGCCGCGTGTGTGTGTTTGTTCAGTGGCGACCTTTCCACGGGTATCACCGTCATCATCGTCAT